CAACAGGAAGAGCAGGGCTCCTGGCAGGGCCAGGAGTCAGAACCCCCAGTGGCGGCTCCCTTGAACCATCCCCCTGTCACCCTGTCAGTGCACTCAGCGGGCATGTATACACACACACACACACACACACACACACACACAGAGGCAGGGCTTCTGAGTGCTCAGCTTTATTGAGGGCAAGGGAGACTACAGGGGAGCCCCGGGTGCCTGGGGATAAGGCCTGGAATCAGCCTGGAAGGGCAGTGGCCCGGTGGACCAGGGACAGCGTTTCCACGACCTGCGCAGAGAGGTCAGAGGACAGAAGTGAGTGCAGGTCCAGTGAGCAGTCAGGCCTCACCCGGGAGTGCAGGGACCATCCTGAAGGCCTGAGGGTCTGCGCTGGGGGATGGGGGTGTACCTGGGTTTATTTGAAAGTGTGACTCTCAGCGCCACCCCGCCCGAAGCCTGCAGAGGAAAGAGTAGGCAGGTTACCAGGTTGAGGGGTGGGGGAGGTGCTGGGGAGGCTGGGGGGAGGATGGAGGCAGCTCAGGGGCCATGCGTAGGAAGCGTACCTTTGGGCCCGAACATGGCGGCGTAGCAGGGGTGGTTGCAGTAGGGCTTGCCTTCATGCTGCAGAGACAAGGGCCATGAGGGGCTGTCACCCCTCACCCTGCGCCCGCCACTGCCCTCCGGGCCCCACCTACCTCAGCGTGGCCCCCTGATGTCAGCGTCTTTCCGCATTTCTCACACTTCAGGCAAGGCCGGTGCCAGTCCTTCCCCAGAGAGGTCACCCGCTCAGCTGCAGAGGTACATACACCCCTCCCCTACTGTAAGACATTGCTCTGGGGCCACAGGGCACACCCGTCTGCTAACATAACAGCCTAAAGTAACAGCCTTCTCCAGCTCCTTCTGCGCATGGTCTCACCCACGCCCGCCTGGTGGCCCACCCAGGGTCTCAGCTGGCCTCCGTGCCCGTGGGTGGGGAGGGGCACCCCCAGTCCCCTAGGCGTGTCCAGCCAAACAAACGGCAGGGGGCGCTGCGTGGAGCTGCAGGAAGAGGCCTCGAGGGCCAGGGTGGGGGGCCTGGGTGACCTGCGGGGGTGGTCGGAGATGGGGCCTGCAGGCGCCCTTCTCCGGGGCGAAGGCGGGGG